GAAAGAGAATGATCTTTTTTTTCTGTGCCTCTGAGTGTCCCTCAACCAGCAGGGGATGTGCTGGTTCTGGCACATCCAGTTCAGATGTTACAGGCTGTTCCCTGGTTCTCTGAGCAAGCGGGAGCAGGAGGAGGGACACAGAAGGGCTCACATACAGAGACTGCATCTCTAAGAAGTGCAAAGCAGGTGGGAGATGCCGTGCAACGTCCGAGCTTTCTCTGGGAAAGGTGCTTCTCCCGTGTACTGCATCGCCGTAGCACTGATGCCACAGCCCCTGAAAAAACATCAAGTGGTCTTTGTCCCCAGCAGAAATGTTCCTGCTGCCAGCAGGGATGATCCCCGGGAAAGGCCAGGAGAGGCTGAATCCGCAGTACTGAGCCCGGAGGGATGTTCTGCCTCTGCTGCTCCTCCACAATTCTCACAAGCGCCTTCCCTGGAGGACAATTCAGGAGTTTCAACGTGCGAAAAGACTAGGGACGTGAGAGAAGAGATGATGGTGGTGAAAGGAGCCCATGGCCTGTCCATCTTGAGCTCCCCGATACCAACGTGCACCACTGTCACCGAGCCTCCGCGGTGCTGCCGCTCTCGCCTGGCCTCCGCATCCAGCCCGCAGCAGACGAGAGCACGAGCGGCGCCGGAGCCGTGCTCAGTCTCTGGCCGGGATTGTCGGAGAAGGGCAGGGGAGGGAGAGGAAAGCAGGGGAGGGAGAGGAGGCGGCCTGCCCGGAGCCGAGAGCCGGGGCTGCCGGGGTAGCGAGACGCCGGGCGGCGGATGCGGCTCTGGCGGGGAGCGGGGCTGGCGGCACTGGCCGCAGTTCTGCTCGGTGCGCAGGGCTGGCGGCCGGGGACAGTGGGGGCCGCGGCTGAGGTTGGGGTGGCCGTGCATATCCCTCGAGGTCACCGTCCTGCCTAGCAGTTCCTTCGCAGAGCTTTGCCTCCGTACTATCCTCCCGTGCGTCCCTCCCTCTTGTCCACAAAGCATTCCCTCGGAACACTCATCGCTCTTTTCTTTGTCGAGCCGTTCCTGTTTCCTTACTTTACTTTCTGTCTTTCAGAGAACTCCTGCAGTCTCTCCTTCCTTCCACTTTCCTACTTTTTTTTCTCTCTTTGCTTTGCTTATTCCCGCAGCTTTCCATTCTTCACTGACTCCACCAATCCACCTCTCTTACCCGCACTCATCTCTTCAGCAAATACTAATGGACACTTCCACTACTGCACACCTTAAAATCCGCTTAAAATTCTTCTCCGTATGGTCCTGACTGCTTCTGTGCCCCTAGTACTGGGAAACAAGATCCAGTGTAAAAAGCAATTCTGACGGTTTTTCTTCCTTATGTCCCTGCCAGTGGCGGCAGGCAGAGCCCAAGTGAAGCAGGACCCGCTGTTAGAGACGACCGAGGGCAGTGAAATCACCCTCAAGTGCTCAAACGCTAACATAGGAATCGGTGATTTTATCCATTTCTACCGGCAGCTCCCGAGCCACAACACCGAACTCCCGGTACGCGCTTCTGAAGTGTCCAGAGAGCGGCGGGCTTCAGCGTGGCGGCTGACGGTGTCGGGAGATCGTCGTTGGATCGTCCTCTGGCTCTCCGGGCCCCGTCATGGGGAGGCGGCGCTCTACCCCTGCGCCCTGGCGATCACGGACTCATTGACACCTTCGTCCTCGCAGGTTTTAGAGGTTTCCTGAGAAATACGCAACTAAGTTAATTGTTTCTACAGCAGACTAAAGTAGCGTCCCTGTGAAAATTCTGTTTCATTCTTACAGAGAGCACGTATTCTATTAGTTCTCTGAACCACAGAGAGTTTAGCAAAGAAATATCCCTCCGGCTCAGCAGCGTAGGCTCAGCCTCTCCTTACCTGTCCCGGGAAGCATCCTTGCGGGCAGCGGGAGCACTTCTCTTGGGGACAAAGACTCTTGGCCTTTTGTCGGGGGCTGCGGCACCAGCGTTACGGCGAGGCAGTGCATGGGAGAAGAACCTTCCCCAGAGTTAGCTCGGACGTTGCATGGCATCGCCCACCTGCTTTGCACTTCTAGAGATGCAGTCTCTGTATGTGAGCTC